CCCCTCCCCCTCTTCCCACTCCTCTCCTCCTCCCCCAAAAGCTTGAAAATAAACCCCATCTCTCATCCTTTGCAGAAACATTGATTTAACAATCATGTACACAGCAATAGATTTTTATGAGTAATACATAATCCAGTAAAATGACGCAGATCCCCACACAGTACAAAACGGGAAATAGCCACTCAGCCCAGTGGTAGGGGTGCACACCTTTAATCTTAGTACTCGGGAGGCAGAGGCAGACAGATCTCTGTGAGTTTGAGGCCAGTCTACTCTACAAGAGTTAGTTCCAGGACAGGCTCCAAAGCTACAGAGAAACCCTGTCTCGAAAAATCAAAACAAACAAACAAACAAACAAACAAACAAACAACAACAAAAAACAGTTCTTACCCATTAATCTGTTTATTGCTATTCAGGTGTTTTCCATTTATCAGGGACTAAGAAGGTTGTATTCTATGGCAATATTTCATTAAGAAGAAATAATAAGTAAGAAGGAACTATAGAAAAGTACTTACTTATATAACAACCAAACAAATTCATTAATTAAACTAAATTGCAAATTAGTTAAAAGAAAAAACCCAAAATATTCTCATAATAAAATTTCGCCTCAAAGATAAAAAAGGAACTTAGAAAAAATTTCCAAAATTTCTGTATTTATTTAACTTTTGGTGGATGTCAAGATTTTAATGTTGCCATATAATCTCAAACACTTTAATTTTTATTCAAACTTTCTAAGCATATGTAAATAGTGAACTTTTCAAAATAAATATATCTGATATTTTGATTAAAAAAAAGAACAGTCTAATTTTTCTGAATCACCCTTTTCTCCATAATAGCTAAGACAGAATTTGCATCAGTTGATCTATTCCACTAAAGCAACGTAAAATGAGTGGAATAAACTTAATATCTTTAGTATTTCTGGGCACTGCCTAAGACATATTTTAACCCATTTTGCTGCAACTCCTGAAGTTACTTGCATAGTTTAAACTTTCAGAGGCAACTAAAAAAAAAGGAGTGGCAGCATACTGAAGTTTGCACAGCTTTGTAAGACTAAGAATCGTGCAAAATCAAGACTTCTTTTCAGATGGGGTAAAGAGGAGTATAACAACAGGCATCTAGTGTCCCACCCTTGCACTATACTGTTTTAGAAGAAAGGCATGGGTAGTTCCCAGTGATCAGTATAGGTCTGCAAGTTTGAGGAAGGATATATAATCAGAGTTTTTTTTCTCAAAGTGGGGGAGAAGAGCAGAGTATATATCTTGTGCCTTGGTCTTTTCAATACACTGCCCTAAGGAAAAGAGATGAATGATTTACAGTGACTATTTATGGGTATGAACAATTAGAAGGAGACTCTTAGGAAGAATGGGGGAATAATACATACCCATAGAAAAGTTTTGAGAGGTTCCCAGATTGTCGGATGGATTGATTAGTGAGAGCCTTTCCCTGTTTAAGCCAGTCCATAAACACCAAGGGAGGTGGTGCTTTTTTTCATTTTGCTAATAGAAAAAGTCAAATTTAAAAGGAACATGAAGAGTCAGGTAATAAGGTGTCTTATAACTGATGCTAAAAAATGAAATTCTGTAAATTACCTGATAACAAATCTAAAATAATGTCTTAAAAACAGTGAAATATAAGAAAATAGATACAGATAAGTTAAAGTATGTCTCCACAGCATAATCAACAAGTAAATAGAAACCACAAGGTGTAGATGGAAAATTTTCATCCTGCCTGGTGCCACAGCTGCTCAGTCCCAAATAAACACACAGAGGCTTATATTAATTACAAACTATTTGGATTATTGCATAGGCTTATTATTAACTAACTCTTAGAACTTAAATTAACCAA